TCTTTCATGTAACTGGCAGAGGACGTGGGAGGTGCTTCCGATGAAAGAGGGACCCATTAAAAACCACCTGGCTGGCATGAGAAAGGGAACTTTGGTCTGCCAGCCTGTCTCATTGTCGTTTGCTTTGAACAGAGGCTGACAGATCCTTCCCACTTCAAAGGAAAACGCATTGATGGCTCTTAGGTGGAGCTACTGGAATGCCCACTCTGCAGGAAGCATTCGGCAAGGGAGAGTCATTTTCTCGGACATGAAAAGGTAGGATTGACGTGTCACTTCTCTGCCCCCCAGGTGGCAACCACCCAACACTGGAAAACAACGCTGTGGCCAAACTGTGCGCTGGGCCACACCAGCACCAAGCCTGAGTAAGCCCCTTGAAGACAACAGAGAGCAGAACGTGGCCCTACGAGACATAAGGATTAAACCAATCCCCCCCATCTTGAATTGGAGGAGATGCTCCTGCATCCTTCGGCTTCAGCCAGCGAGGTTGTCATGGCAAGAGATGTTGCAGTGCTATGGCACTGAGCTGCCAGGGGTTGATATTACATGGTAGCGTCCCAGGGGCCTGGAGGCTGAGGTCAGCAGGAGGTCAGATCCTCTGCTGGTGTAAATCAGCACAGCTCCACTAATGTCAGTGGGGTCATGCCCATTTACACTAGCCCATGGGGTTTAGCATGGAATCATGCATCATCGACAACTCAGGATACAGGAGTTCCTATAGGACAACCACTGAAGGTGGTAGGGGGATCTTTAGATCACCAATAGCAGTTAGGCGAAGGATGTTCATTGTTCAGGGCTTTGTTTTTGCTGTAGCTGGAGATCATATGAAAGCAGTTCTAGTTACAGTAGAACCCCTATTTTACAAACTAACCTGGGATTGAGGAGTTCGTAAAACTGAAAAGATCGTAACAATAAGCATCTCAAAAGGACGGTAGATCCAGTGCCTAAGTTGCAGGATGGTGCACAGTATCACTATCTTCATGTCCTTCACACCACAGCAAAGTGATTTCCAATGCACTGAAGGCACTGGAGTCTGGAGAGAGGGAGACTTGTTCTTCATCTCCTGTGATTTGTTTTTCCCCGGCCAAGAAAAAATGGTTTGTGTAACTGGTTGTTTGTAAGATTGGTGCTCGTGAAATCGAGGTTCTACTGTGTTGATACTATTACTTATCCCTAGGGATTATGTACTTAATTTCTCTCTCACACCTCTACAGTACCGCTGATCTGGGCAGGAAGCAGCATCAGAGAAGGAAGAGGAAGTAGGAAGAGTTACTCAGGACTGAGTTGTTCAAAGTCAGCGTTTGCTCAAGGCACAGAGCCAAGGGCTCAGTCTGATGAGGAACCTTTGGACTCCATCAGCACAGACTGCACATTCACCCCAGAGGCCACTTCCCTGGAATTTCATCCCCTGTGTGATGCGTGCAATTGACAATCATTACAAGGGGGGGGGGGTCAGAAAAGAACCAGCGCCTCAGTTAATAAGTCAGTTTGACTCCATCTTCTACGCTTGAGAGAACTTACTGTTTAAACACTTTGCCGAGAAATAGGACAGTGCTAACCTCACTCTCAAACCCCTGCAAAGAAAACGAGCCTGTTAAACCAAAAAGGAGAAAGGCCACTTCTTAGCTTCCCCATTGTCCATTCCCCATTGGAAAGGGACCGCTTCGGGACAGCTTTGCAGGCACGGGGAGAAAGCAGCAGCCACAGAGAATGGTTTGTCTCTTGCAATTTTTCAATCAATATCAGCTCTGGACATTCACCAACTAAAAGCTAAGAGGAGAAAGTGGCAGGTGTTGGAGCAGGAGGGAAGCTGAAAGGAGATACTGCAGGGGAAGAAAGGAAAAGACTGAGACCGGCAGAAAGGAAGAGACCACTGTGAAACGGCCCAGACCGGAGGTGGGGGGGAAAGGAAATAGAGAAAAGAAAAGTTGCTGTGCTCGGGGAGATCCTGCCGCTGAACTACAGTGGATTTAATACTAAAGAGGGTGGCTTTGGGCAAACCCTAACTTCAATAGCTGTATGAATCCAAGTGATCCATCCAGAGTCAGAGAAAGGTGAATTTCCCAAATCAGACCCATGCACAGAAGCAGAGTTACCATCGTGCCACGACGGAACAAGTCCCATTATTTATTTTAGTGCCAGGAATTTGAATCTCCAAACTTAGAGATGAAAACAATCTATTAGATTGTCTAGTTTACTTCTTGCAAGTGCATTGTTGTTCCTTACAGTACAGGTCAAGGCAGATTCCCGCTGGCTGTAAATGGCACTCCCATAACCTGTAACATTCACCTGAATGGGACATAAGAATGGCCATACTGGGTCAGACCATTGGTCCATCAACTCCAGTATCCTGTCTTCCATCAGTGGCCAATGCCAGGTGCTTCAGAGGGAATGAACAGAACAGGCAATCATCAAGTGATCAATCCCATGTTGTGCACTCCCAGCTTCTGGCAAACAGAAGGTAGGGACGCCATCGCTGCCCATCCTGGCTAATAGCCATTGATGGACCTATCCTCCATGAACTTATCTCATTCCTTTTTGAATCCTGTTCTAGCTTTGGCATTCAAAACATCCCCTGACAAAGAGTTCCAGGGATTGACTGTGCATTGTGTGAAGAAATACTTCCTTTTGTTTGCTTTAAACCTGCTGCCTATTAATTTCATTGGGTGACTCCTAGTTCTTGTTTTAGGTGGAGGAGTAAATAACATTCCTATTCACCTTCTCCACACCAGTCAACATTTCATAGACTTCTATCATATTCCCCCCTTAGTCATCTCTTTTCCAAGCTGAAAAGTCCAGTCTTTTTAATCTCTACTCATATGGAAGCTATGCCCTTCTCTGTACCTTTTCCAGTTCCAATATATATCTTTTTTGAGATGGGGCATCCAGATCTGCACACAGTATTCAAGATGTGGGCATACCAGGGATTTATATAGATAAGGCAATATGATATTTTCTGTCTTGTTATTTATTCCTTTCCTAATGGTTCCTAACATTCTGTTCACTTTTTTGACTGCTGCTGCACATTGAGCAGATGTTTTCAGAGAACTATCCACAGTGACTCCAAGATCTCTTTTTTGGGTGGTAACAGCTAATTTAGACCCCATCATTTTGTACGTGTAGTTGGAATTATGTTTTCCAATGTGCATTACTTTGTGTTTATCAACACTGAATTTCATCTGCCATTTTGTAGCCTAGTCACCCAACTTCGAGAGATCCCTTTGTAGCTCTTCGCAGTCTTTGGACTTAACTATCTGAGTAGTTTTGTATCATCTGCAAATTTTGCCACCTCACTGTTTACCCCTTTTTCAAGATCATTTATGAAGATATTGAACAGCACTGGTCCCAGTACAGACCCCTACTATGTACCTCTCTCCATTCTGAAAACTGACCATATATTCCTACCCTTTGTTTCCTGTCTTTTCGTTAGTTACTGATCCATGAGGGACCTTCCCTCTTATCCCATGTCTGCTTACTTTGCTTAAGAGCCTTTGGTGAGGGAACTTATCAAAGGCTTTCTGAAAGTCTAAATACACTATATCCACTGGATCACCCTTGTCCATGTGTTTGTTGACCCCCTCCAAGAATTCTAACAGATTGGTGAGGCATGACTTCCCTTTACAAAAACCAAATTGACTCTTCCCCAACATATCGTGTTCATCTGTGTGTCTGATAATTCTGTTCTTTACTACAGTTTCAACCAATTTGCCCGGTACTGAAGTTAGGCTTACCGGCCTATAATCCCTGGGATCACCTCTGGAACCTTTTTTAAGAACTAGTGGTTTGAGCATTGGCCTGCTAAACCCAGGGTTGTGAGTTCAATCCTTGAGGGGGCCATTTAGGGATCAGGGCAAAAATTGGGGATTGGTCCTGCTTTGAGCAGGGGGTTGGACTAGATGACCTCCTGATGTCCCTTCCAACCCTGAGATTCTATGAATTGGGTATAGAAGTAAAAGAAAGCTAAGGTTCTGGGGGAAGAAAAACACTGGAGAGGAGAAAACTCCATACTCAAGGCCCAGGTGGAAGAGTGCTGATGTGGAAGAGAAAAAAAGACTAAAGACATATAAGAGCTAAGAGTAGAATGAGGCAGGAAGGCTTGCATTAGCCTTTCATCTCTCTGGGTGCTTGGCTTTTTATTGTCCCTAATGACCTCATTCAGTCCCTACTGAAGCCAGCAGGAGTCTTTCCACTGACTTCAGTGGGTGCTGTATCAGGGCTAAACAAACAACAAAATGAGTTGGCGCCTTAGCTTGAGCAGTTAGTTCATATCACAACACCAGCACATGACTGGCTGTAGGAGTCTACATTGGTGGTGGGGGGCGGGGGGGAGGGGGGAGGCAAGATGGCCAATGTTAGTCTGGTGGGTCCTGCGCTTTTCTTGGCGGGGAGCTAAGATACCACCCTTTGCCCCTGCTACTAGCCTGGGAAGGTGGTATAGGAGGGAAGTGGGGGAGGGGTTTGGGTTTGCTCCTTGCTTTGAGTCCCAGCCCCTCTCAACCCCTGTGGGTTTCTTACCCTCATCTCCCTTAGGTGGGGTTACCCTCGGTCCTTAGATGCTGCGGGGAAGGGAGTCTCCCTTACTTCAGTACTCAGGTCTTCCAAATCTCTCAACACACCTCCAAGCTCCAGTCCTCTCTCCTTCCTCCTCCCCCTCTGTCTGCCTGAAGCAGGGGGTTTAATTAGGTTCCTAACAGGGCCTTGACTTACTGCAGGTCCTCCAATTAACCTGCAGCCACCTTCCCTAGTCTACAGGGAACCACATCTGAATTAGCCTTGAGCTTATATATTTCCCCTCTAGCACTCTCCCACTGCTCCCTGGCCTCCTGTGTCACAGGGGGATAGAGAACAGCCAGTACAAAGGTGAGAACACACTCCTTTGGTGCAGTCAGGCACACCTGGCCTGGAAAAGGGCTCCCTTACCTTGACTCCACACAGCTGGGATCTGCCGATATGCTCTCTGGAAGGATGCGTGTATGTTCTTGATCACTGGCTAGGCCTCCTACCTTTGCTTATGTCTTCGTACTCCAGCCAGAGCTGCCGTTGGACCTGCTTATCGGGATACCAGATGGAGCAGGATTCCTCAAAGCCATAGACTGCCTCCTGGATGTAGTGGTTGCCAAACTGGTCTAGCAGGGCCACGAAATCGCCTCGGGAGGTGGCTCCATCCAGAGAATGGAGGGCGTTGCTGAAAGCTGCAGAGGAATGGACACAGTAAGCAATGAGAAGTAGAAGGCACTAGTGAATATGAGAAGGAGTGGAGCCAGAGCTCCCAACAAACCCCACCCCAGCAGGGCCTTACTCCCTCTTACAGCCGTACATGGCCAAGCAATGGTTGTGACAATCCAGCCCTTGGTTTTCAAGGAGAATAGGCTCAAAACCTCACTCAACCCAAAGGCTATTCTACCACTAACCTCCCCATCCCAGTTTGCAGCCTAGCGCTACTTACACTCGGAGATGGCCAGCTGGTTGAGCCGGACGTGGTACATGACGGAACGCACCTTCCAGTGCTGCAGCAACGGGTATCCAGACACCTCGCTGAAATTCACCATCCCTGAGGGAGATGGGAGAGACACCCCCTCAGTGCTGGGGAGTGGCGAGCTACCCAACAGGCAGTCTTCCCCACACCGGGAGGGTGTGCGAGACCATCCACAGTGCACAGAGGGGAAATGGGGATGCTGTGTCTTAGGGAGGGAGGCTGAGATGTCCAGAAGAGTTCTGTGTGGGCCTAACTCTGCTTTCGCTGAAGTCAGCGGGGCTTAAATACTAATCTTCCTCATCCCTGGCTCTTAACTCGCGCTTCAGCCACTGATCTCAAAGTGCTTTCCAAAAGCCGGCCAATCCATTATCCGCACTTTACAGGTGGCGAAGCTGAGCCACAGGGAAGGGACAGGACTTGCCTAAGGCCACCTACAAGGCAGTAGCAGAGGCAGGAATAGAACCCGAGTCCCAGTCCAGTGCTCTATCCTCTAGGCCACACTGCTTCCCTTAGCACAAGCCAAGCAATACATTTCCCTTAGGAGCAGGTTACTCCAGATTTGTATCCTCTCAAGTTGATTGCACCTTCCTCTGAAGCATCTGGTGCTAGCTGCTTGTGGAGGTGGGATACTGGGCTGAGTGGATCACAGGTCTGATGTGGTGCGGCTGTTGCTATGATCTCTTGCATTTTAAAACGGAGTGGCTCACATCCCTGTATTCTGATCGGCGCCTGCTCCTTGAAAGCTCAGAGATGTTGTGACAAGTACTGACAAATGAATGTGTGAAATGGTCTCAGGCTCCAGTGCGGACTGCTTAGCTGACTGCACCAAAGGGACAGGACGGATTTTCTTTTGAAGGCTTTGATACAAGCTAAAGTGTCCAGCTGCAAAGGAACTCTCATTTTTCTTGCACAACAGAACAAGCAAGGCAATGGCTGGGAGTTCAGATCCCAGGGTTTGGCCCAGAGTTTGGGAAGTGGTTTGGAATCCTAGTAGGACCTAGTAGGTCCTAGCATCCCCAACTGAGATCAGAGCCTCATTGACTTAAGTGCTCCGTAAATATATCGTAAGAGACATTGCCTGCCCTGAGGAGCTCACAAGGAAAGGACTATGTTCTCTATTCCAATCCTTGAGGGGGCCATTTAGGGATCTGAGGCAAAAATTGAGGATTGGTCCTGCTTTGAGCAGGGGGTTGGACTAGATGACCTCCTGAGATCCCTTCCAACCCTGATATTCTATTATTCTATTTTACAGATTTGGAGTGGAGGTAGGGGGAGACTGAATTAAGTGAAATGTATCACTCCCAAGCTCCCAAGTCCCCATTTTAACCATAAGACACCATTCCTATTTTCTGGTCACCTATAAGCTTTGTAACAGCAAGTCATTATCATTATCAGTGTTCCCTGTGAGGGGCTACTCACTTCCTGGGCTTTGCAAACCTGGCTCAAAGCTAATGCCCTAGGTAGCGTCTGGCTTCCGCTGCCTGATCTGCTGTAAAGGGACAGTTCTGTCCAATTAAATCTTGCTTTGGGTGACGGAATGAGCTGGGACTGCACTGGAGGAAACAACTAGGTGAGGTAAGAGTCTAATTATGCTAAAAGATGATTTGAGGGTCAGCAATTAAAAATACAACTTTAAAGGAATGTGTTTGGGTTTGTTTCCTCGCTCCATCCCCAGCTCGGCTTCTGAAGATAAGGCCTTTTGTGGGTTTTTCATGGAAGGCCGGTCCCAAAGGCATGTCCCGGTATGTTCATTACTCCACTAATTAGACTTTTGTAATAATTAGACTTTTGCATCCTCCAAATGCAGCACACTGGGCATTGCCGTATGCGCTGCCTTTAATCCCCCTCGCAGGGTGATTGCCACCGTGTTCCATAGCAGGAGGAATGGACACAGACAATAAGAAAGCCAGTGAGACCCTGTAGGCTGCAAGTACCAGGTGCGGGGGGAAAAGAGGAGTGAGGCACTGGCTGCGGGGGCAGTGACCCCTTCTCTCGACTTGTCAAAGTGCTGAACCCCAAAGGCTACTAGGAAATACAATGGCATTTGGGGGTGCTCAGCACCTCTGAAAATCAAGCCTCACACCTCTGCTAGATTAATTTCTCCACGCAGAGGATAAGTATCACCTGGACATTACCCACCTGTCTCTCCTCTACATTAGCCCCTGACCCCTCCACATCCAAACAGGGCAGGGAAAGCTCACAACAACCCTTTTACATGAGGGGTAAGTTTATAAAACGTTCAGTTCCTATGTATTATTAATGGAGGTGGCTGCACTCCTCTATTGAGATGGCAAGCTGTAAAATACGGGAAAGGAAAACGGCCGGGCTTTTTAACTCCCGGCTCGGGTGGCAACAGCAAAACTCACTCGGCGTTTCCTGACTGTTTCGTAATGTCCAGTGCTAGGAACGGGGCAGCAGCGGTGGAATCAATTCAGCAGGAAGCACGGCCACGGGACAATCAGCACCCCAGCTAGAGACAGCAGGGAATAACAGGATCATGGGGGCTAAGGGAGAGGGTGCCACTTACGCCATAAAAATTATGATTTCTTGGGGGCAGCAGAGTCAACTAGCGTGGCTTACCTTAAAAAAAAAAAAAAAAAAAAAAAAAGGAGCTGGGAAATGTTAGAACCAACAGTAACATCTGCAATTACGCATGTGCTCCAGTGAGGGTTGCTGACTCTAGCTGTCCAGGGTGAGCAGTTGTCTGAGTGGATCAAGAAGGAATTTTTTTTCTTCAAGAAGATCTCCAGCTTTCAGATGGTGCTGCCAAGCACAGCCCCTGCTGCTGGGATGCAGACTCTTTGGTACAGCCAAGAGACTCCATTTTTGAGCCGTAGGCTCAGGAACGCTCATCCGTCAGAGAAACAATTCCATTCCTGCTGCCTGTTCTATAGTCTCATTTAACAGGCACCAGTAAACAAATGTGGAAACATGAACTCCCGCCCATTTCAATCAAGTTAAAAGATGTTCTGCCTTCCAACTGGCTCTTTCCGATCTGCGTCTGGGCTGGGCTTCTCAAAGGAAACACAGGCACCCAAACCTCATTCAAATGAGGCAGCTAACTTCCTTAGGTGCCCTGGAAAACTCCAGCCATAGCTCTTACCTCCCAGAGTTACAGTGAGATTCCTATCTGTGGATTTCAATCCACCAGCTCCTTCCAAATTCCTTGGAGTGCTCCTGGTGGGACTCATGCATGTTCCCTCAGAGCGTGGGCAGCATGTTCAGCGATGCCCCATCCAAAACTGGAGAAGAGCTAATTCCCAGGGTGACTGGTGACAGGGAACAAATGCACAATTACCTCTGGATTTGAGGTGCTGCTGCCAGGACATGTTTGGTGGGCCTCCAGCTAGCACTTAATGGACGTCTGCACCCACTCAAACATATTAAAACCATATGACCACGCGACATAACTAGCAGGGTTGACTCATTAGACAGCACCAACTGGGATAACATGGGGTATGGGAGGCAGCAGAGCTGTGGAGGGAGCCCAGAGCTGGAAAAACAAAAACGGTTCAAGTGACGTGGCAGGGCTGTGTATGCAGTTCAGGGCTGAAATAGCAGGTAGTGCTGTGGGTCAGGAGTGAGAAAGCGCCCATCAGCTGAGCACTGGCTATGGATTTCTTATAAATGACGTGCTTCCTGAACACCCTTTCTCGGCATGTTGCGTTTTCTGGTAGTTTCGAAACAATGATAGTCCGCTTTAAATCTCCAGCAACGTATGGGTAACATGACAGTAGGCAGCACTTCATCTGACCATCAATTCTGGTGACTAACATCACAAAACCAGAGCTGCCAATTTTACACACAAGACTGGTCATTAGTTAAGCACCATGTGCCTGGGGCAAGACATTCTGCTCCGAAAAGACAGGCCTCCACCTTCCAACTAAAGAAGAATTGCCCTTAGCTATCAGGGTTTATTCTTTATAGACCGAGGCCAGTAGTGGAAGATAGAGTAACTCTACATTCCATGGGTCCAACCAGCCTAGGGGACTGATGACAGATGGACCAGTCAATCCATTACACTACACAAAAAGGATACACTATGTCCTACCACCCACTTGGTTAGCAACCTTGCTCCATTTAGTGCTTATGCAATATGAGATAATAGCACCGAGAGGGTAGTGAACAGGCAAACCAAGGAACAAACTATCCCATGTCAAGGGTTCTTCAAAGGCTCTAAACAGCTGGATTGTGCAAGGAGAGTAAAGCCGCATTTTCCAAGTGCTAATAAATGGAGCTGGGGAAAAGGAGACATTCCTGGGCCTTGAAATTCCTCTTACTTCAATGCTCACTGTTACTGACGACTTGAATGTGTGGCTCTCCTCTTAAAAGTGGTTATGCAAAACTGGCCCCTTCTTACTCAGCACCTCTTTCCCCCCGTGTGTATTCAGAATGATGCCGGGATCTGCTGACTTCAGTGAAAAATACAAGGTTTTACTGCTTTTTACCTCTGTCAGCTGTGAAGAGCCAGCCCAGCTCTGGAGAACAAATTGGATTATTTTCCAGCTTGTGCCTCATCGACAGAATTGTTAACTAAGTTCCAATTACAAAATTGCTTGTTTAACAGTGTGGCCTTGGTTACACCTGTGTAACCACCTCAGAGCCAGCAGGGCTGAAAAGGGAAGTGCAGTTTGAGGTCAATAGCGTAAGTGAGGGCAGCGTTTGACCTGTGGGGTCTTTATTATTGTGTACACAGGTCAGACAGAACGAGGCCTGACTCAGTGTTGGAGATCTACGGGACTTACCTTGGGGAAGTGGACTGGAACTCAAAAGACCTGGATTCTAGTCCTGGTTCGGCCACTGAGCTCTTGGGCAGCCTGAGAGAAGTCACTTTACCTCTTTGTGCTGTAGCTTTCCCAGTGTCTATTTGCACTGTAAGCTCTTTGGGGCAACGTGTCTGTTGAGGGCCCTGATCCTGACTGGGACAGTAGGTGACACTTCAATATGAACAATGGCCAACAATGAGTGCCTCCTAGCATTCAGCGAGCTATCCTGCCATGCTAGGCAGCTGGATGGGACCTTTGGCTAGTCAGCCACTGATCATGTGGTGATCCCCCAGAAGGTAGGGGAGGGAAAGGGTATGTGCCAAGGGCGCCCACAGGTGAGTAGGAGCAGCCACGGCATCTGAGGTCTCCCAGGCTTCGGCCTTGTCTGACTTTTTGACGGGCCAGGGAGGCCTTTCTTTGCTGAAGCCGGGCAGTGAAAGGTTCCCTCCCTCTGCCCCATTTTCCATGTGTTAAGAACTCTCTCCAGCCTTCCACAAATGGAGCCTGGGAGAAGAGGAGCCAGAGCGTGGCTGGAATCACTCACCAGTCAGAAAGCCTGGGTCAGGTGTGGGCTCAGAGATCTGCTCCTGGCACTGGTTCTCCAGCGGGACAGTGGCCACCACCAGGCCATCTGGAAGCTGCTGCTCCAAGCCCCGGGCAAAGTTGTTCTGCCTGCAAATTTGAGAGAGTTACACTTGTGTTTGTGTCTGTAATTAAAGTGCCCGGATCAGCAGCCCTGGAGAACGAGGTCTAGCGATACAGACACAGGTTTTAAGGCCGGGGGGACATTTGTGCTCATCTAGCCTGCTCTCCCACACAGCACAGACCACAGCGTTTCAGTGATCCCCACATCAAACCCTGAACTTCTGGCACAGTTAGAGCTTCTCTTTTACCAAGACACACATCTTGATTAACGACCTGAAGTGACAGAATCCACCACCTCCTGTAGTGAAAAAACCTGCACCTTATCCACCCTGAATTTGTCTAGCTTCAGGTTCCAGCCACTGGCTCGCATTATGCTTTTGTCTGCTGCATTAAAGGGCCGTCTGTTATCAGAAAGAGAACAAGCGTTCCATGATCAGTGGAAGCTCAACCTCCCTGCCACACACTGCACTGTCAATGCACCTGCGCTTAACGTACTGTTCAGTCTCCTGGGTCTATTTAAATCCTAGCTTCCTGCAAAACACTGGCTGGTGGGTTTGTGACCCTGGTCTCAAAGGTAGCAGCTATTAGGTGCCTAAAGACCTCCGAGGACCTGGGCCTTGGCCGCTAAGAACTAGATTGTGGCCAACAACTCACTACAACCCAGAAGAGCCATCAGATAGGATGGACTTTCAACTGCACCCAACCCAGGCTGCATTTAAAGCAACAACTGTAAACAGCAAAGATGAACAGCAAAGCAAACTCACCAGCCTACAGTTAGCTCCTTTTCCTGTATCCCCCATTTCCTTGGGAAAACCCTTTCCTGTACAGAAACAAGAGGCTATGGACCCGGGACCGTGTTACAGACCGTGACTTCCTAGGGGTGTGACAGGTTCCAGACGAGAACAGTGAGAGTGCCTGCTTCATGGAAGGAGAGGACATGGTATTCACCTGAAGGTCCCTTTCAGCACCTGTCCAGCTGCCACCTCCCTGGAGTGGTTGTTGTACCCGTAGAATATTTCCCCAAACAGAGTCTGATTCATGGGCAGCTCCCGGCTCTCCCCGCAGTCACCTCCCTTTGGACAGGACTCCGAGATCAGCTGGCACGACCGCCCATCCACTCCAAGTTTGTAATCCTCAATGCACCTGCCATGGGGGGAAACCCGGCACAAACCATTACACTAGGGGACTGAGCCAATACATCCAGTGGTGGAGGAGGGGAGGGACCTCAACGCAAGGAAAGAAGGCCCCTCTCTATGGCCAACTGGAACAACCCAAGTGAAGCTTTGGAGCTACTGAGTTATAACCACTAGTGGTGGACGGCTCCCAAAACAGATATAGTCGCCTGATCATCTTCAAGACATGAATGGAAGACTGTTCACTCCAGTGCCTTGTTCGGTCCAGTTCTAAATGGCTCAGGTGATCGCACTTCCACTGTTCCCCTTGACAGACCAGTCCATGACCAGATAGCTCAGACTGTCAGGAAATTATTCCCAGTACCCAGCCTGCGCTCCATTTGCTCCCAAGCACTGGGCAGATCTTCCTCCCGAGCAAACACAGAGCCGTTCCGTTCGCTTACGAAGAGGTTACAGTGCAGACAATCCCAAGGGGAAATACTGTTCTGATTTCATAGCTGATGGCATACACTCAAACTCGCACCTGGCTGCCCTCCTGACAAAGGAATACACAGTGCCCTGAAGAAGGCGGGGGCGGTTTCTCTCACTAACATACCTGCCCGTCTGGGAAGGAGGAGACAGGGAGCTCTGGTGCATCTCCACAATGCGGGATCTCTTCCTCGTGTTGTGCAGCTGTCTGTGTAAGAGGTAAGACCTGCCCCACCTGCATGTGCATGGACACACATACACATGTGCAGGGCAACACTAGAAATGCTGGGTGCCCAAGGGGCTGCATTGCATGGCTATTCCTGACCCAGCTCAAGACACCATGCAGTATGTTCCTTTCCTGCCCTGGGTGCTAATATGGACATGTAAGGTTCCCCCATATCGCTGCCCACCTGTCTCCTAGATAAGGATGGAATGGGCCGGGTCACTCACCCGCAGAACATGAGGATATTGTACAGAACGGGATCTTCCAGCAGAGGCACCATCTGCTGGAGACACAGCTGCTCGCAGCCACCATTGAACCCATCCGAACAGTCCACACCAACGTGGCGGTCATAGCAGCCAGTGCCATCCTTCATAGGGCTGAGACCTGCTGGGCACTGGCATGACAGAATGACAGAGATTAACCATGTTCTGGATACTGGGACTAAAACAAGCTTTTGCTCAGTTGTTAGCATATAGTCAGGAAACAGCATCTGAAATCCACGCCTGATGTTCTCACCTCCACTGGCTGTATTGCAAGAAGGCAGCATTAAGCTTACAATAACAAACCTGTTTGCAGCTCCCATCTGTGCATCACTTGCTGCCAATTTTCAACAAAAGACTCAGTTGGATGCCACCCATTTGGACTGGAACAGTGGGGAGGGGGTGCAGGCCAGGACTGAGCTGCATTGGCAGAGCTGGGCAGAGGTAGGTCCAGGATTGGAAGAGAAGGAGGGGCCACGGGTCAAGGCTGAGGTGCATTGACAGAGCCACGTAGGGGCCCAGAACCGGAATAGTGGGGGTGGGGGGTTGCAGGCTGGGACGGAGCGGCCTTGACAGAGCTGTGTAAAGCACTGGGATTAGAATAGCGGGGAAGCTGCAGGGTAGGACTGAGGTGCATTGGCCAAGCTCTGTAGCAGCCCAGCACCAGGGATGCTGAAGGACAGGACTCGGGGGAAGAATGACGTGGGGCTCAGCTAGAATTGTCATCCCACGAGTTTGCAGTCTGTGCACTGCAGAGCTTGGGCTAATGTAACTTTGAGAAGGAGAAAGGGCTTCATTGCAACAGAGAGCACACTTCAAAAGTTCTCCCCGAGCACGGAAGCCCCTTAAAGACTCCTTGAAGCAAAGAATGAAGTGCTAGAGGCCTCCCCACCAGCACCCCCCCACACACACACTTTTCTCCCCTCCCCATCACCGGGATTCTGCCAGCACAGCATAGCAGCCGCAGGGTGAGGAGCTCACAGCAGGCTACCACTTCTACATGTTTTTCCCTTCCTCTGACCCTGACTGAAGATCACACAACAGGATGCATATTGTTCGCTGACATTCATTTTGCAATTTCCAAAACAAACGGCACCCTGCAGGCTTGCTGACTTCCCTCCTGGCCCAATCCCTCTACCCCACGCCTGCCTCCCCTCCACACCAGCTGGAGCGCTGGGACTTGACGGCACTTCAGGCGGTTTTTATGAAGCCACAGCTCACTGTGCAAACCCAGCTGTTCAGGATGACAGCAGACAGGTAAATGGCACAACCGGGGATCCAGCCCAGCACCCATCCCCCCTGCTCTCTGGCTCTTCACCTGTTCAGCCAGATGTGCTCTCAAGTGGTGTGGGGAACTGGATGCTCCTGATTGATTTGACTCTTTGGTGATCAGCAAGGCCTGACAGAAGCGGGTTAGAGAGGGAAGAGTTTTTACTGGTTTTAATTCACTATGGTCAGGCTCTGAACCAACTTGTTCTGAAGCTGGTCCAATACAATCAAGACGCCTGTTCCTATTTCACACAGCACAACATTCTGAAAGCCCACTTGGTTACATGCGCCTCTTGCCCCATCGAAACTATTTCCTCTCACCAGACATTCAGCATCACGAGGCTCTCTACAGCTCCCTGAGTGGATCACCAGAAGGTGGGGCAGAGGGGAACAGTCACCTGGGTGGTCACTAGGTGACCTCACCAGATCTCTTCAAAGAGCAAAGTGCACTTGTCTTCTGCGCAGTCGCTATCCTGGTCACTAGCATGTGTCCTGCCTCTTCAGGGTGAAGAATTAAGGCTGAGAATCAGGAGACTCCTTCACCCAAGGAATGAGGCAAAAGAAAATGTCTCGCAGTGTCTCCTGCTTCTCCCTCACACCCAGAAAGTCACCGCAAATTCAGACCCTGGTTATCCTGGAAGTTGCATCCCCACATCTCCCAGGATGAGCAGCCACCAGAGGTTGCTACCTGACCTGGTTTCTGTGGACAGGATGGGGTCTGCAATTGTAGGACATTAACATCCTGGCTTGTAGGAGAGTCTATTAAAATGCATCGTTCCTCTGAAGCAGCTGACACTGGCCACTCTCAGAGACACGGCACTGGGCTAGATGGGTCCTGACCCGATCTAGCATGGCAATACGCTGCAGCATAACGTGTGGCACTCATGCAGCCACGTCACGATGCAGAAATCACAGGGTTATGATGTTACAATGAGAGGACAAGGGCTGGTGGATGGCAACCATGCCGTGCAGCCGGACTTTAAAAAGCTAGATATGTCCAGCTTGGCTTCACAATGACTGAGGCGTGGGAGGTCTGGTCCTTGCAAGGTGTAAAGGCAAAGGGTCTGATTCTGCCCCTCTCACCTAGATGGAGTTGCAATTTATGCCACAATTGGTCCCACTGATTTCATTGGGTCTGTTTGCAGAGTACAGTGTTCCTCACTGGATGCGTGGTAGAAACAAACCCCAAGGAGAGGGAATGCTGTAGAGTGCGGGAAGCCACTTTGTACAGGTAGCCCTGCCTTTGCGCCCCCACCTCTAGTCACATACTGTATGATCTCGACCCGCTACGGCCCCGAAGTTCCCCTTTGCGTGTCAATCCTGCCTGGTTCCTTTCAGCCATCTCCAGCCTGTGCTGCTGTCCAGGGTGGTTCAAGGGGCTGTAACTCTAAGCAGTGAGCAAAGGGGTATGTCAGTAGGACAGCAATGAAGATGGAGCAGGCTGGGGAAGAGGTTCCCAAGGGAAGCGGTGGAAGCACCCACTGCTTGAGTTGTTTAACAAGTGGCTGGCGAGCCACAGGCAATGTGCTCCCTGTGAGGTCAATGGGAGCTGTAGGGGCTCAGCATCTCTGAGAATTAAGCCCCAGGGGACCTCCCATCTCTGAGTTGTTCCCATGCCTCTGTTTGCTGTTTTCTTTGTCTCTTGCTCTTTGCTTTGCTAGCTCTGGCAGCCTCTCGCTCACTCTCTGCCCTACAGGGGTTATGCTGCTGCTGTCAGAAGTTTACACCGTCTTGGGGTAAGGAGCGTTCTACATCCAAAGCCCATTAGCACACCCATCTCCAGCAGAGAGGGTCTCCCAGAGCACTGCAGATGCGGCGCGACTGGGGAAGAGCGTGAATGATGAGACATGCTCAGCAGCTTCACAGCTGGCCTCCGAAGCGGACAGACGGCTCGTCGGGAGCACACGTACAGAGGGGTGAGGGAACGGGGGAAATGGGACGTTGCTGCTGCAACTCAGACAGAAAAATATTCCCCCGAGGTATGAAAGCACCATATCCAGGCAGTGGGACTCGTGTAAACACAGGGACAATAAGAACACTGGTGTGCCATGGAGAAAGGGAGGAGATGTGCAGGGCACTTGGTAGGAACCCCTAGCCACTTACCCACCCCACTCCTGTCTAGAATTGGCAGCTGGCTACGCACCAAGTGTTACACGGTGAAAACACAGAGCTCCTGAAAGCACCAACCTTGAGCTCCATGTACCACTGGCAGATGGAGCAGTTGGTTTCCAACCACCCATACTGAAGGAAGATCTCACGAAAGCCACCCACTCAACATGGACCTTTTCCTTGTGCTATGGCCATAGATGTCCCATGCCTGCTGACAGTGGGGGGAAGGGGCAGAGTGAGGGCAGCTGGCTTCAGCAGTGTTACTGAGCATGCTCACGTTAAGTGAGCATGCTCCGTACAACCCAAGTGGCAAATGATGCGGGGTGGGGGGGGAGGTGGGCAGTGTCAGGCTACGGCAGACACTGCAAGGTTTCTCTGCACACGGCCACTCATTGCTCCCATAGGCCCTCATGTGGGGAGAGTTTTAAAATGTCTCCATATCCAGTATAGCCCATCTCCTTCCTTGTGGGAGTCAAGGGATGCAGTGCTTGACCTGCAGGTTCCCATGAACACTAGGATGCCTAGCTCCACTGGGGATGGCCACCCACCAATCTCAGTCACACCCCAGGGCTGTGTCCTTCTGCTCCCATGGGAAACACTCTCACCTCAAGCAGTGGCTCCCCCAACACTTCCTCTGCTGGAGCCACACAGTGGGAAGGGGACAGATCGGTGGCACAGCTCCCCAAGCTCACATCACAGAGAGTGTCTCTCTGTCCCATGCCTGGCACAGCACCCACTGTCTCTTCCTCCTCCCTGCCCAGCTTCTTTCTTTGCTGTCTATTTTTTCTCCTATTTTCCCCTTGTCATTTGTCTCCTTGCTCCTTCCCCACACCCGAGTGGTGACAACTCCTCCCCCAGTTCCCCCACTTGCCCGAAAGCCACACGCCATGTCTAATGGGGGCTGTCTGTCGCCTGACGCATGGAGGAGTGCCACGAGAGCAGAAATCAGACTGGCTTGGCAGGCTGCTGCCCCAGCCTGCTGTCAGAGACGTGAGCTGCCCCTGCAGCAGAGACCACCAAGGACCAGGGAAGGAAGATGGGAAGCTCTCAAAGGGTCATCCCGATTCACCTGCAACACCAGAAGCCTCCATGCAATGGTAGCAAGGTGAATCTGGGGGTCATGCAATTATCCCTGCATCCCTCTGGTCTTGTGCCCCCTCCCTGAACTAATCTCCCCCCACCCCAGCAATGGGGCCTGCTCACTTGGTTGGGAAACACCGACCTAAATGGTCTGAATCATTGCAACACGTGCAGCAATTGGGACCAGCCACTTTTCGCTACGCCAGGCCTGCAGGTGACATCTCCTGACAGCCATACCCCAAGAACACCAGAACGGCAATATGTGGCAAGGGACAATCTGCAGCAGCCGTTACAATGGTGCCAACCGGCAGCTCCTCTTAGCTGAGACCCGGGTTAAGGAAGAGAATGACCAAGTTCCAGGACTCAGAAACAAGCCAATACACCTCAGTCTATGGGACTCTGAGGCTTCTACAGGGGAATGAGGGGCAGGAACATCTGCGTGTAGCAAGGGTTGATGCTCCCTCGGTAACTTTTATCCTCGTTAATTTGGTGGTGTTAGCAGAACTCATGGCTCAGAGGCCCCTTGGGGCTGCCTCACTGTCTTAGGTTAGAGAACTGTGGGTAGGTAGAAGCTGGGAGAAGCTATCCATGAATAAGTTAGATAGTGTTGGGAGAGCTACAGTAAAGCTGTAATGAACCTTCTGAAAAGGAGGACCTTGTTAAGTGACGTGTTTGTTTGATTCCTCCCAAGGCATTATGGAAAGCTCTTAGCTGCCCTTCCACACATTTCTTATCACATACAGCAGACAAGACAAGCTTTGGGCTCTGACCCCCAGGACGCACGCACCACACAACCGGACGAGTCCAATTTGCGGTCCGAGATGCAACGGAAATTCTTGCTGCAGCCCCCGTTGTCCTTGGAGCAGTCCCGAACCGGTCCAAAGGAGTCTAAGAGAACCTCCAGGCTATCAAAGGAGGAGGAAGTCATCAGTTCTTCCCTGCAAGGAGGGGGAGAAAGGGACACAATACAAAATTCAGGTCGTAGAGCATAAATATATTAACGCCATTTTAATCTAAAGTGCTAGTGAGTACAGATATATTCACACATCCACCAATAGATATTTGCACCTACAGTGGTACACAGTCATGCGGCCATATTTTTGTACAAAACTGTACTGATCACAGGTGCAAATTAGACTAACCACACACACACTAACCTCACTATCCATTTGTGCATGGGCAGTGAATGCTGTGCACAGAGTGGTAATGACTGCATGTGCAAATGCTGCCAGATGCCCACCTGATATTGTGACTCGGAGGATCCCCATCACTGAGTAGTGAGGACTCTAAGTCTGTATGTAGCTGGTTAGCTTTAGTCCTATGAGCTGACACTAGTAAGACCCATCAGGTACTCTCTGAATGACTTAATCTACTGGGAACAGCTGAGATGTCTTTGAAGGCATGGCTCTAAGCAGGCTGAGGACCATGGCATGCAGAAGGCACATGGTGAACGTTGTACTAAACTCTGCCCAGGAAATGTGCACCTAAAGGGTCTCCCAGGGTACACAGTGAGAGCTTTATGCAAAGTCCATTGGAGTCAGAGGAGAAACTCTCATGGGACGTCACTGGGCATTGGGTCAGGCTGTATATCCTGATGTCCTGTCGACATCTGAATGAACATCCACCAGAAAGACGCCAAATGCCACAGCACTGAAGGACTGTAACAATATACAAGTGCGGTTAGCTCTATGGTTCCTCCAACTTCAGAGCCTGCCTTGTGAGTGCAATCCTCCTCCCCCAGTACAGGTGTGGCCCTCTGGACGCCCCGTGCCTCGAGCTCCCCCGCTCCACGAACACACTCACCTGACCTCCACCGCATCCTCCATCACCGTCATGTCCGTTTTGCACTTGGCTGAGGGGTTGATGGCCAGTTCGGCCGGTGGGATCACAAAGCTCTTACTCAGTGGCAGCCACATCCCTTCCCCCAGGGTGTACGTGAACCTGTTGTAGAGAGTTAGAACCGTTCACTAGGGGAAGGAAAACAGCACCCACCTGAGTTCAAGCCACACAGGGGGACAAGGGGAGGGGCGCATGTAGGAAGGGAGGTGCGACTGCCACAGCAACCGGATAAGGAGGATGGCGCAGGGCCCCTGCCAGCCACACCCCCTTGAAGAGAATGGTGGATAAATGTCTGGTGAAGAGCCCCTCCATACCCATGACCCAAAGCACAGACAGCTCCTGAGCCAGCACATGGGACGGAAGGAGATGCTGAGGTACTAGGATGGCTCTGGGTGTCTATTCACAGCCCCCATTCCTATAGTATCCAGCACCTCACAATCCTTAATGTATTTGTCCTCACACCCCCCACAGGAGATAGGGAAGTGCTACCATCCCCACTTGATGGGTGGGGAACGCAGGCACAAGGTTGATTAAGTGACTTGCCCCAGGTCACCTAGGAAGTCTGTGGTTGATCCAGAAATCGAACCCAGGTCTTTGGAGCACCTGTCGTATGCCCTGCCTATTAGATCATCCTTCTTAGCCCCCAAGCCAGCCTTGATGCCTTCAAGAAAGTGCTGGCTCTTCGTTTTGCTACAGAGTCTGACTGTAGCACCTGCAAAGTGCAACGGGCAGCCTGGCTATAGGGGGAGAAAGGTTCCATGGAGCATGGGATGGGAGAAGAAGGAAAAGACAAATGGGGCTGTGGTTAAGGGAGGAAGACTGGCCTTGCAGTTTGGGCAATGCACAGGGACACTGAGGATGTGGGACCATTTCCTGGCTCGGCCAGACTTCTTGGGTGACCCTGTTTGAACCATTTAGGCTGGGAGTTAGAGGACACTACTTCCCACAGAAGCTGGGAGACTGGCTCCTTTAAAAACCCCAACTTTACTCTCTCTGTGTCCCAACTCCACATTGGTGCAATGGGGCTTCTTTTAATTGGGTAGATGGTAAGTCAGGTTTTCAGGGTCTGGAATGGCTGTGTTTGCACAGCACCAGGCACGCGGGAGGCCTGCCCTCCAAGCACTGCTGAAATGCAGAGAGCGGACTGGGGGACAGCAAATTGCCCCCCAGTGCGAGCATAAGGAAGGGACAGGCGGCCTGCCACAGCCCCCCTCAGAGCAGGAACACACCAGCTGCAGCACTCCCTGGACGAGAGGCGTTCCCTGTCGGTGGGAGTGGGGAGCACACTCAAAGCTACAGCCCTGCCTCCCAGCACAGCAGCCGCGGCTCCTAGGCAGATAACTCCCTCTCCCTGACAACTACTGCAATCAAGGCAGTCAGAGTAGAGGCAGGGGCTGAGGGATGCAGCTAGAGGTTATTCATTTATTCATTCTCTCATCTGCAAGCTCCGCATTTCACCGGGTGGGTGTCAGCACAGGGGCTGCCAGCAGGCTCGCCGCTTAGAGGCAGTAGAAATGGGCAGGCACGAACGAGGAATATGAACATTGGCTCCCACGTGAGCAACACGCTAATCGTTGTGGCGCAAAGGGGAAGAGGTCTCTTTCCTCTCTCCCACTGCCCACCAGCACTCAGTTGCTGCTTTCATTCACAACAGACATACCAGCCTTCTCCAAAGGAGGTGCTCTCTGTCCCTGGGGCCTGGGCTAGAACCTCTGATCCCAGGGCCTAGCCCAAACTGTAACTGATGGGTGTCCTGGGGCAGCTTATCTCATCACTGCCCGCTGTAGGATTCTGCCTCTGATGAAGCTGGTGCTTGCCCTGTCAGAGACTGGAGACTGGCCTAGAGGGACCAGTGGCGCGATCCTGTGTGGCAATTTGTATGTTTCCCCAGGAGGAGGCAGCAGGGCTATGAGCAGCCAATAGGGGCCCTCAGCAGGAGCCACTAAGCTAGTCATGGCTCCAGCTGCCACAGAAGCCTCTTCGCTTTCTTTCTTTCCCCATTGACTGATGTTAAAGGTGCTGCATTACTAGGCCTGGAAGCTGACATCCTCTGCTCGTCCACAGGACAAGTGGAGTCCGGGCAGTGCGCCCCACCCCCATCCCACAAACATGACTCCAGTCTGCCCTGGCTAGATCACCTCTCGACTGAGCAGCAGGTTCAGCCTCCGTTGCCTATTCTGCCCATAGCCTCTCTAGTGACACTGCCGGCAAGTGGCTGGGTGGAGTTAGTAGACCTGGAAAATCGGAGGGCGGTTAACTCACCCACCAGTGGGAGATCATGGGGGAGAGCATCCGAGCTTGCCAGCTATTCAGAATGCAGGGAAGCTGCAGACCCACTGAGAATAAAAGCCAGACTCCAGCAGGCAGGAGAATCCCACTAGCCAAGAGCAGCCCGCGTGTGCCAGCAGAGCCTGGAGAATGCTGTAATCCAGGTCCCAGCCCCACACAGGGTGACGCAGGGTGGGGAGAGGTGACGCAGCACTGCAAGCAGGAACCGGGGCTCGGTGTGTATACCATGCCTCCCCGATGCCCACGGTGGAAACAAACTGTTGCACTCCATGCCTGCTCCCAGGTGCTTTACAAATTTCTATATTATTCTTCCCTTCTCGCCAATGGGGAAACCGAGGCACACTGCAGGTAAGTGATTTGCCACGGTCACAGAGTGAGTCCGTGGCTGAGTTGGAAAATAGAACCCAAGTCTCTCAACACCCAGCCGTCAGAAATGCTGCCACTTCCAAGTGCTCCGGACCTCGGTTTTCCACCTCACCCAGTGCAAGAAGCTAGGCATCCCCTGCCTTCTTTGCCTCTTCCCCCTTCCTGTTTTCCCTCTCCCACCCCCAGAAGCACTCACCGATTCAATAACTCGTTAATGCCTCCAGAAGGGGCTGGGGGGGGGGAATGAGGCTCTCTCTGAGACCATGCAGCGCCTAAAGGCCTGGTCTGTATTAGGACACAAGCTGAGGTCTTCCCCCAGCCCTCAGGCCAAATCCTGAGGCATTAGTGAGGCTCTGCTCAACTTCTGTCAGAGATTTGCCTGAGTAAAGTCTAAACCAGGTAACGGCCTCAAGGTCTGGCCCTTAGTATGCTATAAATGGAGAGTGCCCTGGTTCACAGTGGACATGACGCGTTCCCATAGAGAGCGCCACGTCACACCTCCTGTGGGCAGAGAGGGGAAACCGGGACAAGAGCAGGGAAGATGGGAGATTGCGGGGACAGGAGAGAACACCGGTGCAACCACACAGCAGGGAAGCAGGAGGGAGAATGTACCAGAGCTGCTACCATGCAAAGGGGAACATGGACAGGACAGCAAATGTGGTGGAGAATAGCACAGGAGCAGCCATGCAGCTTCACGCACACACACGCCCCCATGAGCACAGACACCCAGGATCAAAGCCTAGCTGCCTTCACAGCCAGTGGATATAGTAATAACTCGCTTCTTCCATTGAGTTAGTGCTTGTACTGAAAGAGACCCATCAACCGGTTACCCCAAGCCACCGCTCAACCCAGACGTGGCCAATCAGATCCCTCTGATGCCCACAAGAGACGTCCCGTGACCCATGGGAACTAGGGAGTGTATTTATTGACGGACGTTTGAGGCCCATTGTTCTGTTTGTGCCCAGAGGGCACGGGGAGGGGCTGGCTGGTTGGCGGCAGGGAGGTAAGGTAACTGGGGATGCTGGCAGGGCAGCCAAGCCTTACCTAAAGATCTTATCCGAAGGCTGCTCTCCCAGCACCAAGTCAAATCCACGCTGGAATATTGTATATGGCCAAGGTCTGGAAGGAGAAAAGAAAATAATATTGTGTACTAATTTGTACAGCACCACGCGTACCAGATTCGGGGCCTGGGTCTGATCTCACATACACCTGTGAATATCAGAAGTGACCCCACTGGCGATTCACACCAGGTTTATGCTGGTGTGAGACCAGAGTTACTCTGGCTACACATCCAGGGATTGCTTCACCGCTCAGTGGAATGCAGTTGTTTCTAGAGTTGCTGTTTAGCAGTGCACAGTAACACTAGGCAACAATTTAGGACAGGAAGCAGGGCCAGTGCTAGACTTGCTGCAGGGCAGAAACCAAGGAGTAGGCCCCCGCCCCGCTGAAGCCCCAGCCGCCTGGCATCCCTGTGCTCCCCACCCCCGAACGTTCCTCTGCGCTCCTTTGGGGGGCGTGCCCCCCAGATTGAAAACCTCTGCTTCCGTGTGATTTATTTCCACTTTTAGCAATTAAATGACTAAGACTCGCGTTACATTTCCCCAGAGTGACACTGTAGAGATGATGTAACTTAGCTTCACGGGGGCCCCGTGGTGTGGGGCCCTGCACAATTGCCCCGCTTGTCACCCCCCAACACCAGCCCTGACAGGAAGTGAAGAAGACTAGCTCAGTTCATTGAATCTGAAGGAGGAATTCAGTGAGGCAGGAGGTAATGACCTAAACAGGACCTGGACCAGGACAATGAAGCCAACACTTCCAATGGCGTCCGGAGATTTCTTGAATCCCTGCCCCCTACCACCGTCCTGGGACATTGGTTTGGCACCAACACTCTGCGAGGGTCCCACCTGCTGCATCAGCAATACGGCGTCCTGCGGGATTCTGGGTTTCCTTTGGCTATATCCCATCCCAGTGCTGATCCTGTTCTGATTTTGCATGCAGCGCTGAGCGGGCAAACCCCTGCCTCTGCCTGGAGCCCTGCTGACTTTGTCTAATTACCTTAGCTGCCCTCTTCTTCTTGAATGTAGCGAGCACATACGTAAGCTTTAGCACCATGTAGCTAACTCCTGAAGAAACTTACCTCATTATATCCCCCTCGTAGTGTCTCCTCTGATGTAACACGTGGTTGCCCCCCAGAGGGGAGAAAGCACGTAAACAATGGAGGAAGCTGCTCCTGTTAGAGTATACGTGGCTTTAACGGAATCTCCCACTCAGTTTGTCATACGTGCCGCATCTCCACTGTGCAGCTTGTTTTCCCAGAGGCTGCAGACATCTAGGAAAGCTTTGGGGAAAATGGAGCTGTATCCCGCCTGTTTTTAGAGAGCCTGGAAGAGTACCCTTGCAATTCAAACCCCTGGCAGGAGAGGACTCCGAAAGCAGTGATGGAGGGCAGGTCGTGGGAGCCACGCTGAATACACATCTCAAAGAACCACAGTTACTGTAGTATAAGGAACCATTCTTCTTCCATTATGTGTCAGTGGGGATCCCACTGTGGACAAAAGTCAAGCAGCATCACACCTGGATGGTGGGACTGAGGAGTACCAGCAGCATTGGTCAAACAGTGATGGGGATACTGGTCTCCCAAACCTGACTTCTGACATAGTTCTTAACTCCAAGATACAGCACTGGACAGAAGTCAGTGGGTTACTCTATGTCGTCACCCTGCAGATTTCTGACATCAGCACATCCCCAAAGTAGACGACAGATATAGAGCTCTGGTGGAGTGAGACTTGGTGTTCAGAGGGAGAGCCACATCAGTCAGCTGGTAACACACTGAGAAGCAATGGACCACACAGTGTAATATCCTCGGCGAATGGATGATCTCTAGAATACCTGGCTATGGCTACAAACAGATGGGGAGATAGATTGAACAGTTTGGCCATGTCAATGTAATAAAGCAAAGCCCTGGACACATCCAGCGTGTATAATTTCTTTTCTCCTAGAACCAGCTGTGGTTTCAGGAAAAAGACAGGCTGGCTTATCAATTGGTTCAGATGAAATTCTGCATTTACCTTAAGAATGGACTTCAGGTGAGGTCACCGTACCATCTTGCTCATAGGGAATGTCATAGGGGGCATTCAGCTTATAAGAATGGCCAGGGACCAGTGCCAGATGCTTCAGAGGGAAAGAACAGAACAGGGCAATTTCGAGTGATCCACCCCGTTGTTCAGTACCAGCTTTTGGCAGGTGGAGATTTAGGGACTCCCAGGGCAGTTGCGTCCATGACCATCCTGGCTAATAGCCATTGATGGACCCATCCTCCTTGAATTTATCTAATTCTTTTTTAATCCAGTTATAATCTTGGCCTTCACAACATCCCCTGGCACCAAGTTCCACAGGCTGACTCAGCGTTGTGTGAAGAAGTGTTACCTTTTGTTTGCTGTAAACCTGCTGCCTATTAATTTCATCGGGTGACCTCTGGTTCTTGTGTTATGTGAAGAGATAAATAACACTTCCCTGTTCGCTTTCTTCACACTGTTCATGATTTTACAGACCTTGACCATATCCCCCCTCCTTAGTGGTCTCTTTTCCAAGCTGAACAGTCCCAGTCTTGGACAGCTCAGTGGACTTTAATAAAGCTGAACACAAAGCCAACATGTTTTAAGCGCAGTAAGTAATTGGGGATCTTCAATATCATGGCTTAAACCAGGTTCAGACCACGCCAGGTGGCCCATATCAAGAACCTCTTCCATTTAGAGGAATGCATCCTCCTGGTAGACATTTGCCTGCTGTGAACCAGGATTTCCTGGACCTGTAAGGAGCAGTTCCTATCCATGGTACTGAACCAGCCAAGAGCAGTGCTTTCAGGTGCTGCAACTCCAGGTTTGGATGGAGCATTGGGCTGTAGTGCTGTGAGATCAGATGGAGGTGGCTGGGAGCTGGAGTGGAGGCTGAACCGACATCCGTAACAGGTTTGTCAGACAGAACTGCCTCAGCCAGCATAAGGCTACAAGACTGACGATGGCCCTGTCTCCAGATCTTGACAATCACCACTGGAAGCAACAGAAAGGCATACAGCAGACCTCTGCTCCACTGTAAGGGAAGGAATCCAATAACAATCCTGGGTTCTGTCCTGCCCTGGAGCACAAGATCTTAGATTTGGTGCTGTCCTTGATGGCAAACAACTCTACTGGAGACGGGGTGGGGCGGGGGTCCACAATGGCAGGATATCAGTCCTATCACAAATCTGTGCAAAGGTTGGTCTGCTCAGGAAATCTGCCAGATTGTCGCTGACTCCTGGTAAAGGGCCATCAGAGTTATCCCATTCTGATCGTACCAGAATTTGACAGCCTCCATGCAGAGGGGCAAGGAGTCTGGGCTCCCTTGTTTGCAAATGCAGTGCATGGCTGTCATGCTGGCTGTGACACTTTGCACTATCAAGTTCCAGATGACAGGCAGGAATGCCACACAGGTAGTATGATGGCTTTGAGCTCCAGGACATTCATACCTATCTCCCTGTCGTCTAGGAACTAGGCCCCTTGTGTCTGTAGATGGTCCAAATGAGCTCCCCGGGCCTGTCCTTGACACATCCGTGATCAGGGTCTTTGTTGAAGCAAGGACTGAGGAGGACACCCCCTCCACGCTTCTGTGAGATCCAAACGCCAACCCAGCTCTGCAATGACACACAAGGTACTGAAAACTTCTTGTCTATTCATTGTCTTGCTGGGGGAACAAACCGACCTGAGCCAGAGCTGGAGGGACTGCAAAGTCTGGCAAATGACACCACATGTGTGAATGCCAATATGTGGCCTAATGCTGCAAGTCCGTACTGTCGTACACACTTGTACATCACACCTGCTCCACTCCTATGCCCTTGCATGAAAACCTGGAGCATGCAGGACACCAAGAGACAGAGCTATCCAAACATATCTGATCTCCCACGCATCAGGTGCATGCACACCCAAAATGGGATCCATGCAGATGCATACTCGAAAGAGAACACCCGTTAAAATATGTTGCCATCCATCATAGTTGGAGAGACACTGTCGGGTCAAAAACCCGAACAGTCCCATGCAATAGTGAGCTGAGTTGACAGTGGCATCAGTATCAAGGGATTTCATAGTTTACAGCTGTGGAATGCCTGCACCTAGAATACTGAATCCATTTCTGGGCAGGAAGATATTGACAAGCTGGAGGGAATTCAGAGAACAGCAGGAAAAAATAATAAGGGACGGGAGGGACTGGTTAGGACGAACGATTAAAAAAGAGTTAGACAGGTGTAGCTTGGCTAAATGACAATAAGGGAAAACATGATCGCAGCACACAGATTGAGAGCAGGTGTAACACAAGCATGGAGCAGAATTATTAAGGATAGCAGGAGCAGCTAAAAGGACACAAAAAGGGAAAATCTAGGCTGAATATAAAGAAATAGGCTCTTTTAGACTCTGAAATAGTCTCCTGAGGGAAGTAGCAGAAGAACTCTTGTTTGGGGTATTAAAAGTGGCTTGATCAAAAATGTGCCACAAAAAGCATTCTGGCCTTGGCAGAAAGATGGGCTCAATCTCCAACTTGTTTGGTAAAGTATGTGGCTTGAAGGTCAAATGCTCAGGGTGGTGACGTGTCACTAATGACACATGGCACCGCCACCAGCACCAAGGACAAGATAGAGTCACACTGGCCAACCCACTGCTCCCAGACCTGCAGAACACTATGGATGGTGGATGGTTTCCAGGATCACCAACCTGAACAGAGGGAGCACGGTCAACTCCTGTTGTAGGGTGCTCCATGGACGCCCACCTATCTTCTCCACTCTCCCACAAAATAAGCCCAGCCTCCGGAACACTTGTCTTGCCAGCACTGAAGAGAATCAGCTGCATGGTTGTGACCACTTCTGGTGGTAGATTTCTCCATGGTGGTATATCTGCCCTTTAGATGCTGGTAGAAGAAGCTGGAGTTGACTTCAATGACCTTTTGAGAGATACTACAGTGGCCACTCGCCTTGCCCACCCCCTGGAGAACACCATCCAGTGAGAGAGGTGAACTCAGACCTCGAGAGAGATATTGATGACTGAATATTTTCCAATTGGTGCTAAATTATTGCTATGCAGAAGACAATCCTAGCA